TTGATAAAAAAGCATTTGTACAAAAGATATTTTGAATAAAAAAGAGAAAACGAGAAAATAAGAGAGGAGCATTAGATTGAGTTTGTTCAATTGAGGTGTTAAGTTGATTCTGAAAATCATTTTTGGATAAAAGTTCCACAGTGACTAATAATGATGTGAGAAATTCATCAATAGGATTATTTACTGATCGTTGTGAAAGTTGACACAATCCTTGAAGGTATTGTAAATGAGCGGAAATAAATCGACGATAATCTCTGGGTTCATATTCAGCTAAATTAGGATGAAGACCTGTTACTAACTCCATTCGCCACTTCTCCTCTACAAAATCACTTCTGCAAATCTAGAGATATCAATTAAAGAGAATATCATTGCATTTCTAGTCTTAATTGTTGAAAAGACAAAATTCTATCTTACCGAATGAAGTTCAGATTTGATTTCGACGAATTGATTGTATGTCGATGCTATTTTTGAACATGAACATTTTAGTTTATTGCCATAGAGTTCTCTTAAATGATTGTAATGAACAAAGGATGGTTTATTAAAGTGTTTGATCACAATATGTGGTCGAATAATTGTGTAGAATATGAGAATAATAAGACCACTTAGAAATAAGATCAGAAAAAGACGAGTAGCCCATTGACCATAACGTTTTGCTGTTATCCGATCAACATCACTCCCAAAGTCACGCGACTTGAATATATTTAGTTCGATACATTTGTCTCGTAATAGTTTGATTAAATTTAAAACCATCATCTTTAATCGATTGGCGCAATCACGATGAACTAGAATATATATATAGTTACAGTCGACTGAAAATTCCTTTTTATTGATAGTTTAGAAAATTATATCATCAAATGAACTTCTACGAACTTTCTCATGAATTGTATGCTACGTATATGTGACATGCATAGCATGCAACACTCACCCTTCTAACGAGATGTATTCGATGTCTAGTAAGAACTTTTTTTAAAATTCTATTGAGTCAACCTTGTCATCGGCTGATACGAAATGACTTTGGACAAATAATTCGTAGTTGAATTTTCAGTTTGCAAAACAAAATTAAACGACCGTTCGATTACAGATCACATATACATATGTTTTATATTTTCGCAGATATCATCATCATTAAAACATTATTTAGATTCTGTCGAAACACGGCTTCCGCTAACGAAAGTAACGTACAAATCAGTTTGCAAAACACATACGAAAGACTGGTAAGTGAAACGAGTGTTTCTTTTTCTATCTGCCGGATTTAGCAAGATTGAATGTATATATACTATTCAGAGTGAACCATACAAAGGATATTCAATTTCGAGAACTTCGGAAGAAATTGACGCAGCAGTGAGTTGAAAGACATACTCAATCTAAAGTAAGGATGTCCATCACGGTTGAACATCGGCCGCTACCGCGATATTGACTTTGGAAGTATCCAGATTTTCATGTGTGTAACTGATGATAACTAAAGGTATTGCCCTGAAACGACCTAATCCATTGAGTTTTACAGATGAATATACTTTGAAGTGAATATTTTGTATAAACTCATGTGGTACTTAGACTCTTCGTTTTTTCGACATCACCGCTACTGCTCTGAACATCTCCTGTAGAAACATGTAATTGACCGTCCTATTATCGGAGATAGACCTTTACATCTTAGCGCAGATTCTTTGTCGTCTCTAGTTCCAGGAGCAGCAACACAAACAACTGCATAAAAGGCTTGTGTAGTCTGTAATCACATAAGAAGGAGCGAGAAAAAGTGTAGGGAAACACGTTATCAATGAAATGTGCATTGTTTGAGTTGGCGTGATAGGTTGTTTTGAAAATTATCATTTCAAAAACACCTATAATACTTCTATTTACTAATAGAGACCAATGGGAACTTTTTGGAACGAAAAGTAATACAACCACCTTAGAAAACCGTAGCCGAGAAGTTAAAATACTTTCTTAATCTATTTTTTGTAACTCATTCTTTATATATTAGATCAGACTCCAACTATGTTGAATTTGATCAAATACACTATTACCTGGTTCTGTTTCTCTTGGATTTCGGTAGGTTCGCTTCACGGATCTTAGGATGAATTTGACAACAGGATGTGTTAAAATACGCCACAAGACTACGATACCACCCATCATCGACACTATCACCACGATCACTTCAATAAAAGAGTTCTTGCGAATTGTTTTAGGATAAGAACAATACATTGGTGCACAAGCTTTATAGAAGTCTTCATACGATAAAGAAAGATTCCATTGTTCAACCATCAGTTCTTTCACGATTATTGAAATCGGTGTATTGGGAGGAAAACGACTGATCGATGGATTGTAAGCGATATGTTTAGTATTCAATGGTGATTGCGACAAAATTCCGAAATTTATGAACGTAGCCCCCAGAGAGTATATAAAAAACGGAAATGAATCTGAATCAATATAGAAATGTTCAAGTGTCGAGAGTAAAAGAGAGTCAGTAGTTTGGCAGGTTCGAACCCAACCGGATACGTTATAAGTGAGATTGTCAAACACTTGATAGTTTGCACCGGGAGATACTATAACAGCTTGACTTGCACAATTCGGATTTATAGCACAAACACATTTGACCGATGTGGAATTGGTTTCTGGAATTCCATTTTGAATAAATTCCATCTAGGAATTAAACGGTTCAAACTTATATACATCTACATTGACTAATGAAAGAAACAGATTGGCATCACACATTCGAAAATTTTTGAAGATGCTCAGTATCTCCGACGAGAAATGTGGTATTTTTCGTAAGAGAAGTAGTTACATCTCGAAAATTCTGATTATAAGACGGCATTGTTAATTTGGACGTTTTTGTGCAGTTTCTAATTCGATCTAAAGAGCGTTTTCGGCCCGGCCAAATGAAGCGTCCGTGCGCCACGACGCGTTATCAATCAAAATACTTTCATATCATTCTGCAATTGCCACAGCTTCGAGGGCACAACACGAGCTCTTCCAGAAAGACGTTTGCAGAATGATTGTGCTAATTCAGAGTCGTTAAAGCGTCGTGGCTCACAGACAAAATGACTATAATTACGTGGCCAGGCCGTTTTATTTTTTTGTACTCATCTCAATAGGGCAATCGCCGATAATAAAAGTAATGAAGTCTTTTACCTTTTCTTCGGAATCTTTTATTTTGAGCAATGTGAGTATCTACGATGCTCACATATTTAGAGAACAGTAGCAGACTTAGAAAGTGTCAAGGGCAATAATCCTTCTCCCCCTAATACTGAGAAAATCTGTTTTTAATCGCTACTTCATCAGTTTTTCACGAAAGTTTTAGAAAAAAGCTTCAGTATTATGAAAAAATTTCGAGAAAGCCTGAATTTCTTGTAGTTTCAAGAAACTACTAAAACTTTTTCCAAAACTCGTAAAAGTTTGAGACAAGGGTAAAAAATCCCTCGCAAATTCATTAAAAACATTTAAGTGTTTTTAAATTTTTCCGAGAATTCCAGAAAGTTAAGTGCCGTTGCCTTCATGATAGAAAATTTTGATTCTTTCGTCTTCGCTAGTGCATGACTATATCAGCAAATTTTTAGAAATGATCTTTGAATTTATGAAAAATCTACCAAAATATGGAGATTTTTCGTAAAGCTTTCAAAAAGACTGTTTGAATACATGAAAAGTCCAGTTTTTAGAAAATTTTCCGTAAACGTAGAGAAATTGGAGACAATTCCTCGAAAGAAATGCTAAAAATTTTCGAAAATTTCTGAAAACTATAAGAATGCTTCAAAGATTTTTGAAAGATCTTGACAAATTTTCGCAAAATTCATCAATGTCCCTCGGTTTCTTACAATTCGGGTCATCCCTTGTAATGAATATTGGTCTTATAGGAAAATTTGCTCCAACCCTCTTCCGAAATCTTAGATCCGAGACTGTTATAGAAAACACATATTATCCCATTGTTGAAAAAGTATAACATACATATTGTGTGGAATAATTATTTGTCTTGTTTGTTACCGTATTTACGACTAAATCAGGAGCTTCCATGCTTTGACCCCAATGCACTGTAGCCAGATAAAATCGATCAACTTGCAGAATAAGACGCATGATATCTTTTTGAATATCAAAGTTGTACAAAGTTGATCGATAAAATTGATTGACACTTGCATTCATTTGTTCATTAAAATCAATCTCATCCATTACAGAAGAAACAATAACGACTTGTGAAAGAAATCTATTAATACTATACTTAATCGTTTTATTGGTTAGTTGACAGAGATCAGATAATAATTGAAATTCTGCAGATGCTTGTCTACGCCAATCATTTAGTCCAATGTTATTTTGACCCTGTAATATATTCATCCAAAGGTCACTAACGAATACACTTGAGCAAATTTGATGAAAAGTTGGAGAAAATGACATAAATGTTTGTTGTGGTATTGTTTTATTTGAACATGGACATTGCACTGCAACTGAATGTGTGTTTTTTAATGAATTGTAATTTGTGAACGAAGGATTTGGTACTGAGATGATCACTATTTCATTGTTTAATATTGTAAACAGACAGAGAACACATGTTGAAACTAATATGTTAGAAAAACAAAAAGTACAAAAATGTTGATAGTTAGAAAAATTATTGCAAAAAATCCCATGAGCGGGCGAGGGGGCAATGATCCTCTCTAATTCAACTTTTAACGACAATAAGATTTTATTGCCCCTTTGAAAATTTGTCTGGCCCGCCCGTGACAGATCCTGTAGGCTCTCAGTTTGAAACAGATTTCTTTTAGAATAATGGGTAAAATATTCGTCATCATGAGGGTTCAATATTCTATTAGTCATGTTAAAACTTGATCTTCTTCTTTTCTATATCTGAAAATGATCTTAAAAACAGCATATTTAAAAGCTATGTCATATTCCAAACTATCAGTCAAAGTATCTATACTTCGGACATACCAAAAGTAGTGGTAGTGACACTTTATTCTCGCATTGTCCATCAGTGGAGATTTTTTTCCTAGATAAGCTGATAGAGAAAAGAAAGCTCTATCTTTCTATGGCATCTGGTCACACTCCATATAATGCAGAAGTATTAAGTTTCCGATAAGACTTGTGCCATTTGCATTCCTGCTCGCTGTACTAAATTAGAATAGATGACACAGATCAATTTTCTGTTCCTTGATACATTGTGGCAGGAATCAAAATATACCGTAAGACACAGCAGGAAAAGCCCTACAATCCACACAATATCATCTATTGCATAGTTGCACCCTTTGTTTTGAAAATAGATACAGTTTTGACGGATCACGTGTTGGGTATTACAAAAATCGATCGCATAGAATTTCTCTCTGTTTGAAAGAATCAAAATAGGCTTGCCTGTGACAAATGTAGAACGTTTCGCACTGCATCGTCTGATATATTTAACTTTTTAGCAAAGTGTACAGATGAGGTGAAAACTTCCGTGCACACTTCAAAGCGCACGAATGCAAGTGATACAAATCTCATCGGACACTTAATACTTCTGCATTATATGAAGTGTGATCAGATACCATAGAAAGATAGAGCTTTCTTTTCTCTATCAGCTTATCTAGGAAAAAAATCTCCACTGATGGACAATGCGAGAATAAAGTGTCACTGCCACTACTTTCGGCGTGCCCTACGTATGTGAATGTATACATTAATGTTGAGAAAAAGCAAAAAAATCTATAATAAGTACTTTACCAAATAATAAAATTAAATAAACTCGGGTGATAACTCTTTGTTCTTGGATGCTATTTTCTGTCCGATCATTGATATTTTTGAATAAATTTAATTGTTTTACTAATTGAATCACTTTGAATGTATTTGCATTTTCGCGGTCTAAAATTGAAAGATGTCAGAATTGTTATCAAGGATCATAGTTCGCATTACTTGAATTAAGTCTCGATTTAAATAAAACCTCTATGACATATGACGCAACTAAGCGAAGTAGAATAGTAAGTCCACCATAAAGACTAACGAAGAGAGTAATAGTATAAAACAAATTCAATCGACTTTGCCTTGTGTATATGCATTGTGATGGAGAACACTGACCAAAATACATAGGATAATCTATATTTCTTGACCAATTTTTGATAAAAAGAGTTTTAAAATGATTATAGACAGAAATATTTTCATGATTCGAAGTTAGAATCGAACGATCCCAGTTGCTGTTCTAAAGAAAGAGAATATTTAGCAAATACAAAACCATAGTATACGAACTTGGTTCAATTTTGGAAAGTAACTCGACAACCATATAAGACATTCAGTTTGGTACAAGCAATCTAATGTGCTTTCCGAGATTGCTTCAAAGGGAGTACACGAGGTAAAGAAGCCTTCAACGATCGAAGTACCGTTGGGAGTTTTTTTTTAAGCTATCAGTGCGTCAACGCTCATGTATATTTCATCGATTGGTAATGAATTAAAAGCAGTTGCCAACTTGAAACCATATAGACCACACGGCTCTACAGGAGGTTGCTGGGAAGTTACAAAAGCTAGTGCCTGTGCAAATGGGCGATGAGTATTTGTCATGTCACTTTGTACGCTGAAGATATGATTAGTACCAAGAGCTGAAACAAAATTATTTCTAGTGATGGTTGTTTTCAAATAATCCAAAAATGAAATCATTTGACCAAGTGCAATGTTGTTGTGAAATTGAACGTGAGCGTCTACCTCTAATTCAAGTTGTAATTTAGAATGAATTTCAATGGTAATCAATTGAGTTTTGTTCACATTTTGTTGAATTTGAATAATAGTTTCTTTCGAAAGCGAGCAGAACTGTGATAAAATTTTGAACTAAATGGAAGGAAAATGCGTATTTTTTAAAAATGATTGAAAATATTTAATTGAATTTAATATTTCATAGTGCGAGTACGGATAGAGGACGATAGAAAAGAGATTACGACACTCCTGACTTCTAGAGGAGTTCTCTATGTCTCGGGATACATACCTTTATCTGGATCTAGAAGGAAGTTCTGAAAAGATTTCATAATGTTAGCTAATAAAAAATCGTCTGCATGAAATATCATTACAAGATCTCTTTTCAGTTTCTGAATCATGCGCACTTCTTATCGAAACTTTCTTCGACTATTATATCACAAGTGGTGAAAAGAGTTTCATGACGTCCATCAATGAACAAGGACGTCGAGGTGAAATTCACTCATTTCATTCTTTCAAATCTTCTTCTAGACCTAAAATACTAGAAAAATTTTAACGGAATACAATTGTTACAAACCTGTGAATAGGCTGTTTTTCGAAAATCCCAATTAACAAAAGAACTTGCGTTCTCAAAATACAAGCCATCAATCCATTCGCTATCAACGAAATAACTTTGGCATATAGGATGCATTGAAATATTGTTAGACATAAAATTTTCCAACGGGACTGTAGTCGTCGTGCATGGACATGAAAGATTTTGGCCATATTTGGAAGAAAGATCATTAAAAATATCCAGTGTTATATAAGAAACAATAACGGTTTGTGATTCAGTTTTTACCAAATTTGAATAGACCAGAATATACAGACATACTAAAACAGAGATGATCACTTGATTTTACATATGATGCGTTATAGCGATTGCCAGGAAATTGACTACATTTTCTAACTAAGAATAATTTCCGGAAATTGATTTCCACTCTACTTATAATATATTCTCAGAAAGCTCTCATTTTCCATAATGGAAATCACTTCCATTATCAACATTGGGTACAATTTTCAAAGTCTTTACTGGTTGTAAAGAAGGTTCATTTGGCTGAGGGGGCCTCGAAGGGTGATGCAGGGTTTTATTTCAGTGAGGGTGCCTCGAAGGGTGATGCAGGGTTTTATTTCAGTGAGGGTGCCTCGAAGGGTGTAAGGATTAATATTTCGACTGAACATTTCTGACGGATGTACAGGACATAACGGGTACAATGGGCATAATGGACATAATGGACATAATCTAGAATTTCCCAATTTCCATTATGTCCATTATGTCAGCCATAAACAAGAGTCCCTAATGTCTACTTTCCATAATGGAAATTGGGAAATTCTCGATTACGGTCATTACAAAAGGGAAAACTAAAGTCTATAACTTTTGCCTATTACCGAGGCAAATTTCGATTTCCCGGAAAACGCTATAACGCATCAAATCTGATTTTACTAATGTCTTATATTATCTATTAAAAAGTGTTCTTATTCTAAATTTCTCTGAGAAGGATCGAGTTTATTGTGATCACTGAATAAATTCTGGTTCAAATTAAAGAGCCCTGTATGATAATACTGCCGATTTGTATTGCATATTTCTTAACTATACTGCAAGTCTACAAAAATGATTTTGACTATGCAAATAAACATATATATGAAACTTCAATTCTCGGTCGAATATAATGATTTGATTCAGAAAAAAGAATGAAAGTGCCCTCGACTAATTTGTCGGTCAAATTAAATTGAATTTTTGTGATAGAGAATTCTAACACAATACTCGTATCAGGAGATGTATTCTATGACGAAAATAATATATATTATAAGTCATATTTACCTGTGACAAGTACAATGTACAACCGAGTTTTGTACTTTTGATGCTTAAGAACAACAGCTGGATCATTGAGATCATCCTCTTCATCATAATCATTTTCTTCTAACATGAATAGATTATAATTGGACACCTTTTTAAAGGTCCATTTTTGAAGACTTCTGAGAGTCATAATATCAAATGAAACTTTCTAAATAACAAGACGTTATTACTATTGACACCTCCAAGGCAATTGAAGCGCTTTAGTGTAACATAAAAAAGTGTTATCTGTTGAAAAGATAATAATCAGAAAAGACATGTTTCGAATCATCTTGATCCTGGCTACCGAAGGGAAACATCGTAAGACACGTTCCACGAGAAAACCACGGTATTTTCAAATGAAGGTGTGGGTGAGCTTGAGCTAGAAACAGTCACACCCGCTTACTCAAAGTCAACATTATTTTTCTTTTTTTATCATGTTTGATGTGAAAAAGAGATCGTCAAACGTTTTTCACGATATTTCTCGGAAATTCAAGGATATCTTACTTGGTAGCTAACTTAGAAACAACTATAGCCACCAGGAATCCATCTTAAAACTTCGAACCGGCTTAGTCCACCCATAGTTTTTATAATTCTTATCGCGGGCCCATGAACTGGGCTGGGCAGGATCAAGCTCATTCCAGGCGATGCTCTGGTCCTTATCGACGACCGTTCAAGTGAAATCAATTTAAGTTAAGAGTGAACTAAACCGAAATCGAAATGCCTAAACTGATCCGAACCGAACAGCGCTCACCTCTCCTCCTTACTTATCTTTTCTAATATAATTCTAACGCGATGTTGGGATTTTTCAGATATGAGCAGTTACCATAAAAAGCTTAGTAATAGCAGTCATCACACAGAGAAATAATTAGGGTGTGAAGGTGGGTGAGATTCGTCTGACCTCATCCACTCATACCTTCTAATGATCGTTATGAATGATTCTAACATTATATTGATCTTTCTTTGAATCTATATAATTACCATAAAAAGTTTCGCGACAGTCACCATTACACGAAGTGATGATTAACCGAGGGGTCATCTGAGTGGAATTCACCCGGGTACCTCTATCTGATTTTACTAATGTCTTATATTATCTATTAAAAAGTGTTCTTATTCTAAATTTCTCTGAGAAGGATCGAGTTTATTGTGATCACTGAATA